CCCCCCACCAGCTGTGAGTCATCCTCCATGAGCTCCTCCACGGCCGCCGCCCTGTCAGGCAGGTCAACAATATCCGATAGCTCCGCCAGGACGGCTGGGGGCGGTGACACATATGAATAGCATGGAAAGGGGCGCCCGGGGAGCAGCAGTGTATGTCGTCGCATCGACATGGGGCGGCAGGCCCATGTGCGGCCGGCGCCGCCTGCCGCTATCCGTGTTGGCCGTCCGAGGCAACGGCGGGGCCGCGGGGAGAGCGGACGACGCGCTGGGGCGCCTTCCCCACGCTTTGCGGCCTTGGCTTTCATGGATGCGAGCACCAAGGATCGGCCCCGTGGGCCCGAGCTGTTCCCTGGCCCCGCGGGCCCCGCGCACCCGCCACGTTGAGGTGCGCCAGGGAGAGGGCCCGGATGGTGTCGTGGTTCTCCACCAGCGCGGACGCCTCGCCACACAGCCTGTTGAAAAGTGGTTGGAGGTTCGCATGACATCAGCAAGACGGGGAGGGGTGCAAAGGTCTCATGAGGCGTGGCTCGAGCTGGGGGTTCAGAGAGCAGGGGACGCAGGACGGCGCCGACCGCAGCCGAGGCCGCAGGCTCCCGATTACCTGGCGTGCAGGGTTGCGCTTGCTGGTACTGCTGCTGCTGCAGCTGCCGCTGCCACTGCTGCTCCCGCTGCCGCCACAGCCGCCGCTGCCGCCCGCTGCCCCGCACGCCCTGGTGCAGTGCCCTTCCTGCTCCCCACTCCCCCAGCTTGCACCCAGGTTCCTCCCAGCTTCCTACCAGCTTTCCCCCAGCTTCCCACCTGTCAATGTCGTCGATGCAGCCCTTGAGCTTGGCTATATGGCGGTGGCTCTTGTCCAGCAGCTCAAGGCCGTAGCGCGCGGCATCAACCTGGACGATAGCGGTGATTGGGTTGTTGATGTGAGTGCATGCACCCATGTTACATGTGTGTGTGTGTGTGTGTGTGTGTGTGTGCGCGCGCGCGTATGTGCGCGCGTATGCGTGTAGGGCAACCTGCATGTCAGCTTACATGCTGTGGGTGGCTGACGGGGAGCGCAAGCCGAAAGCGACTCGCGCGGTGCCACTGCCGTGGCTCAGACACCGTCGGCGCAGCTGCATCGCGACAAAGCGACCCCACATTATGACTTGAGTGAGGAAAGGGCGCTTCGATTATGCGATCTCAACAAAGAACTGAAGAATCACAGCAGAAGCGTCTGCAGGGCCACAACACGCCGCCCCGCTCGCCTGGGCGCCGAGCGCGGCCCCGAGCGCGGCTTGGTTGGCGCGGGCGCGGCCCTCCGTGTCGCTGCGCAGCTGGCTCAGCCGCTGCAGGTCCTCTGGAGTCTGCGGGGGCAGCATACCGCGCAGACGCCCCGCGGCAATGGGGTTGTTTGTGATTACGTTCTGTAAGGTGGGTACAGGTGCACTCGAGCAGGTTTCTGGTGGTCAATCGCGGCAGTACAACAGGGTTGGGTTTGTAGTGAGGTGAGGTTTTGAGGGGCGTATAGTGGTGTACACGTCATGGGGCAAGGCGGGGGGCTGCGCTTGTTTGCAAAGGCGCTGGTTGCGTCTTGACCGGCTGCTGTCCAGCACCGCTGCTGCTGCTGCTGCTGCTGCTGCTGCTGCTGCTGCTGCTGCTGCTGCTGCTGCTGCTGCT